CCCCCCCCAGCCACCCCCACCCCACCAAAAAAAAAACCAAAACAAACAAAAAAAAAAGCTAAATAAAACAACAAAGCTTCCAAAGGAAAAAAATTGACTTGCCAAGTGTTAACTATATATCTATGGTTATAAGAAGAAAAAACTGAGTTTAAAATTTATGAAACAACTAGAGTTTAAAATATTCCAGGATGGTTCAGGTTCCAATGTGCGTGAAGAATATCTGTAATCCACAAACTTAGAACTTAGTCCATGCATAATGAAAATACTGATAACTGCAACGTCTCAGGAACTCTAATAAAGACAGTGATGAGCAAAAGGAATGGAAAATTCACGATGCAATCATCATGATGCTCAGAAGATATTAGTACCAAAACTAAAGGATATGCAACAGGAATGCTCCTTGTGGTTGATGAGTCTTAAGTTTGCAAGTTAAATGATCAACTGTCATTATTGACTTTATGTCAGCAAGTTGTTAGCCATAATCACTTCCCCTTTTCTCATCATTCTTGATTCCTCATCTGCAGCTTAATTGCAATGAAGGTATGCAGGAATTGGCTGCAGTCTAAAGCAGCAACCATCACCGTTTTCCCCATTTCAACCCTAATTAGGCAATTCAAGATAACACATCTTAGAAAAGTAACAGAACAAGATCAAATCCTAGGTGAAAAATACGGTATACCAGCAACCACTCCCACCAGTGTATAACAACTTCATACAAGAAAGAGAAGATTCGAGAAGACATTTCTTTGTATCTCTGAATGGAGAGGACTAACCTTGCACCATTACACCACATAGACAACCTACTCCCTAAAATTTAGACCATTTCAAACCATGCGGCTAAAAGCTTTAATTTTGTAAACTTATTTCAGCCAAATAACTATGAGGGCATAACGCTGTTAGAAACAGGATTCACCAGCTTGCATGTTGATAGAGAATATAGAAGAAGAAGACGACTTCATAAAGAAGAATATATTGAGTTTTCCTTCGTTCTTTTTTATTTGAGAATAAAATAGATACATTAATGCTACCTACATCTGTTACCTGACATCATTCTCCACAATGCCATCCTCTGAAGGAACACCAACTCTTATGGCCTTGCTCTCATCAGGTTCGTCCTGGTTTGCCTTCAGTGACGCAAATATCTCTGCTGTTGCATGCAAACTACGAGACCAGACAAGCCGAAGGCGAGGGAAATGTAGGACAAGCAACGAAAGCTTTGAAATTATGCTTGTTGGCGTAACATCATCACCAATATCATTTGCAGACTGATAGAAGTGACGAACTGATTAGTGTAATCATATCTTGTATAGGTGATAATCTATAAGTTTAGTATTGCCAGGTGGTTACAAGCATGTGAATAACTTAACATGTTTTGACAGTAATTAAAAGTTTATTTCTTCACCAACTACAGCTAGGCCCTGAGCAAACGGTCGGTCGGTCGGCTTTCGACCAATTTTTTGGCAACCGAAACCGCACCGATCATCTGCAGCAACCGAAACTGCACCGAAATGAATCGGTTCGGTTTGGATTGGTGCAGTTTGATTGATTCTATACTGGAAAAGTGGGAGTGGTACATATACGAGAAACACATCTTCCGGCAGTCCTCGTTCAAAAGAAGATAAATTTTTTTGGTTCGACAACCGAAACCACACCAGCACCAAGAGACCACCACAGTAACAAAGGGCTCTCGGATTTGCAAATATACGAATATAAGACAAAAGACAAAAGTAAAGTAAATTATTGAAGAAGACAAAGAGACAAGGAAAGTAAACAATTGAAGAAGAAGAAGAAGTGGCTGAGAAATAGAGAAATAATGGATATGGCTTTGTTAGGCATTAGGTGGAAGAAGAAACCTAGAAAAAAGAGAAATTGAGTGCTAGATCTCTCTCACGATATTTAATAAAAAATAATAATTAGTGTCAGCTTGCTATAAGTTGTAATCGCTATCATGTTGGGTGCATTTGTGGGCCCGTGGAATACGAATGGATGTTCACTGAGTTCAAAAGTAATAAAAGAGTAGACGGTCGGTTTCGGTGTACGCCGATTTAAAAATAACAGACCCGACCCGCACCGATTCACTATCAAAACAGACCCAAACTGCCTCAAATTGGGCGGTTTGGTCGGTTTATTCGGTTCACACTGTAGTTTGCTCACCCCCAACTACAGCATGCCTAATGTGACCATAGCAGAGCATGAGGACTGAGTGTATCTACAAGCTATCTTCCGAGGAGCAGAAGGGCCCAAAAGAACAGAATATATGTCGCAAACGCATATCCCAGTAAGTTACAAAAGAGTTTCAGTTATACTCAACAAAGAAGTTCACACGAAAATGTAGACTAAGGGTGCAAACAGATCAGATGTGTCATTTACCATATTTGCGTGCACATCCTAATGACGGATACAAGTACAAATATGATTTTCTTTGGTGAGGAACAATTGTTAAAAAAGGGCGGGCACTTCTAGGCGCCGGACCGACACCAAATGCCTAAGCACCTAGGCTGATGCCTAAGAGATGCCAAGAAGTTTATTTCAATTCATTGCTAAGGCGGATGATTGCTTCTGCCCAATGAGAAGCACAGGAGAAGAGAAGAGGAAGAAAGGAGGAAGAAATAGAGAGCTATTAGAAGTAGATGAATTTGTAAAGTTGGGTTTGAGTTGACATTTGGAAGTTATAATATACTCTTCTCAGTGCTTAGAGTATTGACAAGTTAAAATATTAATAACTTGTTGACGGTAGGACTGGCCATACAGACAAGAATTCAGGAAAGTAACTAGGCGCTGCGGATGATGTTTTCGTAATTTGTACAGTGCAGTCTCTAAAAGCAATATTATACTTGCTTCCTCAGGATGCCTAACTAGATAATTTCCCAACTAGCAGGATCAAAAACATTACAAAAAAATGTAAAACGAGAAAGCATGTTCTAAGGTCCAGTGCATGCACCTGGAAGGAAAAGCTCCTGTCCTGTGAGAACTCAATTAAAAGCACAGGTATTTTATAATAGCGGTTCATCATCTCCGCCTGATGGTAGAGGCGTCCTGATGCAAAACTTTGAAATAGATCTCCAATACTTTTTCTTTCAACACAAATTAATGGTGAAAGTACATAATCGCCAACTTCCAAAGTAATAGGTATGACTCGCATGCCTTTTTGGTGCAGAACATTAGGAAGACTGCTCATGAACTCTCTCATGTCCACTATGACCTGCAAAAAAGTCAAGCTGGAGGTTCATGATTTCACCTTTAATAAGGAAATATCAGTTATATCCACGAAAAAACAATTTATGAAATTCCACAAAGGATCTACCTGCATTTCTTTCTCCACTGTCTTTCTACCACCTGCCTTTCTAGTTAGAGAGTTCTGTGAAGTAAGTGATTGCGGCTCACAAATAGTAGGTCCAACACAACGCCCATCCTAGAAGGAGCAAGAAGTTAAGAAGCATAGACATTCGACATGGATACAATATGGATGGACATGGGATAAAGGACACAGCAATTCCTTATAGGATCAAGACACAGAATACAATTAACACGACAAAAACTATATATACATAATAGAAGGTGAGTTTATATACATGCATACACAAACAGGTTCATGCACCAAGACTCCATATAGTTATTTCTAATATATAATATACCAATGATAATATATACTAAAATCTTGGTTTACCATACATGTTAATGACTTCACAAAAGGAAAAAGCTTTGATCCTTAACTCTCTATAAGTAGCTAGACATATCTAGTTCTATCATATTTTTATACAAGTCAAAATTATTTTCGGTGTTCTCCACAAAATTATAACCATGGTGTATAAATGAAAGTAAATGGAAATCTCAAACATGCATTTTGAATACGTGCATGACAAATGTGAAATATGACTACAAGTCTACAAGAAGTGTGCATAACATATCCTAAATAAAAACATGTATACACAATCGAAAACACGTTTAACTATGAGTCAGACAAATCTGAACGAGTCAGCGTGATAAGCGTTGGTGTTGACTGTCATGGCCATGATTTCAGAATTAAAGCATCTGTACTACATACACAAAGAAGATACACTTGCATGCTCCTATAGTAAATTATATGTATGTATTTTCGGAGTTCTCCACAAAATTATGACCATGTGTATAAATGAAAGTAAATGGAAATCTCAAACATGCATTTTGAATACGTGCATGAGAAATGTGAAATATGACTACAAGAAGTGTGCATCACATATCCTAAATAAAAACATGTATACACAATTGAAAACACGTTTAACTATGAGTCAGACAAATCAGAACGAGTCGGCGTGATAAGCGTTGGTGTTGACTGTCATGGCCATGACTTCAGAATTAAAGCATCTGTACTACATACACAAAGAAGATACACTTGGATGCTCCTATAGTAATTATATGTATGTATGTATTTATGTGTGTATGAGTCAAATCTGAACGAGTCGGCGTGATAAGCGTTGGTGTTGACTGTCATGGCCATGACTTCAGAATTAAAGCATCTGTACTACATACACAAAGAAGATACACTTGGATGCTCCTATAGTAAATTATATGTATGTATGTATGTATTTATGTGTGTGTGTACACACACACACACACATACACACATACATGCATACATGTGTGTGTGTGTGTGTGTGTGTGTAAAATATGATTTTATCGATTGTTCTCAATGTGCATGCATAATTTAATCATTTAAACTCTGCGTCGGAGATAATCACTAGCTGCCAAAGTTGAAAATTATTTTAAATTATTTTCTCTAATTGTCGAGAATTTAGGACAACACTAAGAATGTGGAAAGAATGTAGCAGAAATGTAAGAGAAAAAGAGAGAGGCAGAATTCCAATTCTTCAATTATAAGGGTAAAATCTGAATTTCAAATGCCTTGCAATTATAAGTTTAACGCTATATGAGCATAAGCACACTGCCATGCAGTAAGCCGAAAATCATAAATTTAAAAGATAATCCTTCAATAACTAAAACGATAAGATAAGGCACAGGGTGGAAGCAACTAAAACCTGATCAACAGGGATCATCATCAGGGATTTCTGCCTAATCAAAGATTCAAATGCTCCATTTTCCCGACGTATGCTTGCTTCAAATTTTTGCACCTCTGTAGAATCTTCATAAAACAAAAAGTACACCTTCAACTTTTTTGAAGGATTCTCAGCCTTGTATACTTCAATTTCCCGAACAAAACTCATGTCTGGATGATAAACGATAATTACAGATGGCTTCCAAAGGCCAAGAATGTGCTGATCTCTTTCTAGAGCATAAAACTGAACAGGTGGAAGCGGTTTTGTATCACTTGACTCTGTTGCAGAAGACTCTGGCTCATTTCTTTGAAGAACAATTTTACCATCAGATGCATTTGCTAAGGTCGCTTCCTCAAGACTGCCTCCAAGTCTTATATCAGCTTCCCCATGTTGGCCTTCTGTTTCCATACCGTCTTGATCAATTTTATTATTTTCTTTTTCTGATGGCTTCTCACTTCGCTTTTCAGCAACTTGAGCCCTTTCTGTTGATTCCCTGGATTTTCCTCTCCCCCTTCCTCTTCCTTGATCAATTTTATTATTTTCTTTTTCTGATAGCTTGTCCCTTTGGTTTTCAGAAACTCGAGCACTTGGTGTTAAATTCCTGGACTTTCCTCTCCCCCTTCCTCTTCCATAGTTCCCTCTCCTCGTACGTGGCTCAGAATTGTGCCCTACACTGATTTCTTCTTTATTTAAATTGCTAATCTCTGATGCTGCAGCCAGTAAGGCATCATTTTCCAGCTTGGATATGCTGCTAGCTTCTGTGTTCTCAGAAGGCCCAGTAGCTACTCCATCAAGTACCCCGAAGCCCTTAGGATCCTGAGATCTTTTCTTATTGCGTTTACGCAAGCTATGCAACTCAGCCTTACCCAACAAGTACTTCTCCCATTCTTCCCGCATGACCTACAGGCAGAAAGGAGCGATTCAGCATCCAGTATCCGATCAAATATGAGATCACTATGGATAATAAATTAAAAGAACATAGATTATTCCAAAGCTTCTATGTAATCTTCAGAGTTTACCCTTTAAGAAATCACCTCTACAGGGCTAAAGAAAGACTACTCCTATTTAAAGGAATGGTCAAGTAAAGATTATGATGTAAATTGCATTCAATTTGGTGTAAACACAATGCTTTTGTTTTACAGAAAACAAATAATAGGAGGAACTAATATATAGAATAAAAGGAATTCAAGAGCGATGATCACAACAGCAGAAAAGACGGCAGCCTAACAGGAAGAAATGGAAATGGAAACACGCGAGAGGCAACGTAAGCAGAAAAGATAAGAGCATAATGGATAAGCCATCCAGGGCTAGGAAAAAAATATGGTAACATGTGTGGGCGGGATAAATTTGGAATTAGTAACCAATGAGTATTGGAAAAACAAAGGAGATTGAATAAAGGACCCATACAAGAAAGGCATTTGACATGTGCTGTTAATGGATAAAAATATTGAACATTTATTTCATATAAAAGGTTAAAGCTCTTAATGTATACCTTATGTGGGCCTTTCGATATACAATCTTCCAACTGCAAACATGAGAGTTCATCTTTACAAGCTACCAAAACGATGTCAGTATTATCCTCAACATTTTCAACCATATTCTGCTCTTGTCTTGACAAAGCTTCCTTATGCCGTTCTTCTTCTATTTCTTCCAGCAACTCCTGAAAATATGTATCATTCAGATTATACACTTCCTGCTAACATGGTAAACATTACCTCAAATGAGAATTGCACTAAACTTTCTCACTGCACAGGCCTCAATTTCAATCTCCAACAAATTATATATAATATATATCTATACTATCTTGTCCATTTAACATGGCTTAGAAATGCAAATTGCATAATGGAACAGTAGTAAATTAGGCATGGAAAAGCTACTAATTTATACTTAAAGCCCCATGCGAAGGTACTAGCCCAAACACAGATGAGATGCATATATGGGTAAATAGCATTATCAAATTTGTGATCTAGCTCAAGTCATCCACTGAAGCACAAATCATAAACAAGATTTGTTTCAAAAACCCACAAGAAAGTAAATGCAGAGTGGCAAATTAAAAAGAAGCTTACCAAAGCAAAGGAACTCACTTACGCGTAAGACCTTCCATTTGGGTGCTTCTTCCAAGACTTCATCTAACACCACACCGACAGTGGGATCCAGCAAATTAGAAGAGGAAACTCCATTTTCTAATAAGAAGGATCACTAACAAATTTAAATTGATATCTAGTATAGTTCAATGAATAAAGGGCCAACCCATGAACTCAAGTGATTGTTCACCTCTAATTCTTTTGCTGCTAATCTATGCTAATTCATTGAAAAAGGAAAAAGGATTGAATCAAATGCTTACCACTTTCTTTCTCTTTCTTGCTTTTATCATTCATCTTCCTCTTCTTCTTGTTCTTAGCAACTGAAGCAATTCTCGTTCCATCAGCCCGAACCACCTGATAAACCCTCCTCTTCGCAAGCTCGAAGATCTTGTGGCTTGACTCTGCAAACATCCAAACCGATCGAACGCCCTCTGAAACTCTCAGTGTATCCAAGTACTTCAAGTACGTCACAGCATCATACCTAAAGCTCACAAACCCAACATCAAAAAGGCCATTAAATCCAACAAAGCTGACAATTTTCCATCAAACCCATTACCTCACAAGATAATCCAACAGCTTCCTCAGCGTCCTCAGATCACTAACCAGCTGCTTCGTCTTCCTCCCAATCGTATGCCATATCGGATCAAGCTGCCGCCTCACAATCTCATCAAACGACTTAAACAGCCCATTCTCCACCGTCAAGTCCTCAACACACAGCGGGTGAAGAGTTCGCACGGTGACGAGCTATCTTCAGACATGGGTTCGTTCGCCACGATACCTTCCACAGTAGCTCGCTTCAGCACGACATCAGAGTCTGCACCTCAGTTTCGGCCCGATTCTCTCCAGAAACTCGTGCGCCTGACACAGATTGTGGGCCTGAGAGATCACTCCTTGTGCATCGGCCAGCCGGGCGAACCGGCACGCCTCACGTCACAACACGCGGCGCGGGCCCTCTCGAGATCCGCACCTGACACGCAACATGAAACCTCGGCCAAAGATGCGCTTTCTAACACAAAATAGGCCATTCAATGATCCCTGCCACGCTGCGAACCGCCGCCATGGCGTGCGCCTTGTCGGAGAACGCGAAGACGGGGCTTCGCGGGGTTCGACCCGGAGAGGCGAAGCGATGAAGGATTCAGTCGAAGACATCGGAGAGCGGTGGGGCCGTTGAGGATGAGGAGAGGAGACGGGTTGGCGGGAACGCGGCCCGAGGAGGGAGATCGGCGATGAGGACTCGGGGGTGAGGAAGAGGATGCGGCCGGAGGGTAGAGTGAGGGCAGCGCTGATCGGAGGGGAGTGTTCGCTGGCGTTAGGGTTAGGTTAGGGTTAGGGTTTTGGCGGGGTTAGGGTTAGGGATCGGAATTTTTGGATAGGGATTTGGGCGTCGGAGCGGAAGAGGAGGAGAGGGAGGCCTGAGGAGGGGTGGTGGAGCGAGGAGGAGGAGATGAGGGAGGGGAGGGGAGTGGGCCCGGAGAGATGAGCGGCTAGGCCGCGTTGGGTCGTGAGAGATCGCCGATGATTTGCTCCTCGAAGGGGAGAACCATTTCGGGGTTTTTTTTCCTGTGTTTGTTTCTCTTGCTTTTGATTCTTGGATTTTGGGAGGGAGGGAAAAAATGGGGGATGGATCGGATAGGGTTGAGACTCGAGAGAGAGGGCGGAGCTGATGGTGGGTCTTTTGATTTTGGAGGGCGACGTGGAGAGATGACGCGCGAGATTTGAAGGGGAAAGGGGCCGAGAGGCCGTTGTTATCACGGGCGGGGCACGTGAGTTGAATCAGCACCTTTGACTAGTCAAAGCTGAAATTTTACTCGCCTTTCAATTTGGTTGTATGTTTTTACCATGTAAAATAATGAAAAATGTAAAAAGTGGATATCAATGTTAGCTTTCATCACTTTATATTGTTTGTTTAAATTCTCTTTTACATGAAAAGCTTACCCATTTTAATGAAATGTTACCGAAAGTAAAATCATCAAAATTAGAAGTGGTTTTGTTGGAAAGCTGACACAATGTCATAAATGTGTCCAAAAAAATAAAAATAAAAGTCAAAACCTTGTAGAAAGTGGTGAGGTGGATAACCACTTTCCATTTTGTATCATAAATACTCTAGTTTACATTATACTATCCAAACAATGTAATACTATTATTTTAGGATTCACAAAGATTCCTAACCAAACAATGTAAACACTCGAATGGAAAGTGGTGAGGTGGATGACCACTTTCTACTTTGTGTCATAAATACTCTAGTTTCCTAAAAGCATCCAAACAGCCCCTAAGTAGACGGATGAAGACAAATTTTCACCTAAGTAAGACAACTCAAGCCATGTTGAACACTACACCTCTGTCTATCCACCCAAAGTATTTCAAATCCTAGATCAAGTCGAAAGGCGTCATTAGTCGGCCAAACCTAGAGTTAAATTCTCAGCTAAATTTGAACTTGTAGGAGAAGTTTATCAACTAACGAACTTCGCCCGCATGGACCAACTCATCCATTTTCGAAGAAGGCGCGCTCAAGTCTGATGCGACCTTCATCCACGTCTTCAGCGAACTTCGCCGAAGTCCGCGAAGTTCGCCCAAATAGCCATTTCAGAGCTATTTTTAGGGGATAACCGCTCTCCACTAACTCCTACTTTAATGGCCACTTAATTCACAATTAAAGGGTCCATTAACTCTCTTTTAGCCTATAAATGGAGAGGAGATCATCCACTTTAGACACACGGAGACCGCCATGCACACGCAGAGGCATACGAGAGGTAAAAACTCTGGCCTACAAGTTTTTTAGTGAAAAAAAGCTACACACGCATCGTATTTGTGATCCCATCGAGAGCTATTGTTAAGAGAAGACTGAGCTAACTCCCAAGCAATCTAATACTCATCAACAACAAAAGATCCATCGTCTTAGTCAACGAGTCAACAAAGTACAAAATTGACACTCTACCGCTAGACGAAAAAGAACCCCCAGGAAAAAAAAATTCCTTTGGTTCATTAAATTTTTTGCATTGTAATATGTGTTAATTGCAATACAAAAGAACCCGAAACAGATAACAATTATAAATAGAGTTCTATGTAAATAATAATAGTATAATTAAACTTATAATTAAACTTTGAAACTAATTATATAGCACCATGAACTACTTAAATTTTAGTCGGTGAGAAATCATCACGTTGTGTTCTCGGATCGTAACTGTTTGTTTTAATTTTCCTTTTTTATAATTTTGAGAATGACTTTTGTCTCTTTAATTTGTTTGATGGATTTTCCAAATATTCTGTCCATATTATGTATATTTGTAAGTTTGCGTTGTTCTTGGGTTCGACTGTTCTTAGGTTCGACCTTTGGGCATACATTATTTGTCTTGTTAATTTGTTTGGTTTTTGCATATACGTCCTTCATCTTGTAGACATTTATAAATTTGGCATTTAATAATTTCATTCAGGTTTACATTTCAATTTAAACTATATCTTTATATTCATACTATGTATATCCAATAAGAATTCATCAATTTATTAACTCACTCTTACTTAATTGATTAGGACAAATTTTTAAAATAGTCCTATTTGGACTTTTATTTGTAAAAAATGACCCATTTCAAACTTAATTATAAAAACCGACCTGGTTTCAGCCCTGTCATTGAAACCAGGTCGGTTTCTGAAGAAAAAAATTACGAAACTTCACGGGAGTTCAACTCCCGTAAAATTTAGTATTTTTTTAAAACTTCACGGGAGTTCAACTCCCGTGAAGTTTAATTTCTTCAAAAATCTTCACGGGAGTTAAACTCCCGTGAAGTTTTACCAACACAACAGACTTTACGGGAGTTAAAATCCCATGAAGTCTGTTAGAGTGTTACAAACTCCATGGGAGTTCAACTCCTGTGGAGTTACAGGACAAATTTCCCAGAGAGTCGCTCTCTGGGAAATTTACACTGCAACTTCACGGGAGTTCAACTCCCGTGAAGCTGCAGGTTTTACTAAATATGCACAGGCTGATGTGTTGTGCATGTTTTGTATACATCTACCTATTTTAACTCATATATATAACTATTTACCTATTAACAATAATTACTACAATATATATATGATTTAAACACGTACGAATCAAACAATACTCAAAAAGAGTATATATATGAACAATAATTGATTCACAAAAGTATAGCATTTGAAAATTCATAAAAGTTACAAATTTTAACAAAATAAGTTCAAATACAACCCAATATAGCTCCTCTCCTTCCTCTCCCTCTCTTCCCCCTCCCCTCGCTCTTCCCTGCCCCCCGCGGTCCTACTGATGAGCCTCGACTATCTGAGTATCCGGTTGTGTATGAGGCTGAGAAGTGTCGGCTCCATCAGCATGCGAAGTGCCGGTTCCATCGGCATACGAAGTGCCAGTATCATCGTCACGTAGCCGTCTGCGCCGAATGTACGCCTGCCCAAATGATCAAGACCTGTCCTCACGGCCTGCGAACTCGTCGACGTGAGTCTTATGAAACACCTGCGCTATGGTCTTCTTGATCCTGTTGAGGAGTCCTAACGCCACCGAATGCTGAATCTCAGGCACGTGCGCATCAATATCAGCCTCAATGCTATCAAAAGCACGGACCTGTGAGGTAAACAATTTATTACGTACCAAATTGATAAAAAAAATTATAATTTAACTTAGAAACTGACGTAATCTCTCTCGTTCATCCCACTAAGGATGTAACTGTCTGTCGGTGGGCGTGGCATGTGTCCAGCTGATGGCTATAGGTCACACGTGATCCATGTACGTGTGATATCCCAATACCAATGCATATACGCGATATAGTCAACAACTGTGAGCCTCGTATCCTGGATGAAATCCCACCTGTGAGCCCACCTGTCTATGTAGGCCGCACGGACTACGGCCCAGTCGGTACGGTGCGATGTAGGTCACCACCGACGATCGATCTGCTCGACAGGATCTGGCACATGCTGAGAGAGCGTAAACTGCCGTAGCACACGGTCAAGTACATGCATCTCCACGATCTCCTAACAAATCAATGGAACTCTGGCTCTCCACAAGTCGAGAGTATCTCGGCAGATGGGTGTAAGAGATTGCATATCGAGCTCCGATGGTGTATAGGGTCTCCACTTGAACTGAAATAAAATAAAATATTTATCAGTATCAACAACAAAACAATAATATTCATAACGACTTGAGATTTATAATTACACGTTCGTGTTGGAGGCCATCAAGCTCATTTCGGTAAAACTCACGATGACGCATCGCTGATCGGTACTTACCGTACCGTACGTTATACCTATATGCAGAATAGAGAATATATAAGTACAAATACAGTACGAATAAAATTTGTGTGTACAATTATACCTATATGCCAAAGGAAACTGCCCCTATAGGTCAAGGTGCACAAGTAAAGTAGGGCGTCCAATATGAATGCGCTCCCATGACCAAATCTGTATCAATGTGCAGCATTCCTTAAATTCTTTATTCTGCATCAGAGATACTCTACCCAATTCTCGATACAAGTATGCCAACACCGTACTGCCCCACGATAGTGCGCCGCATACGTTAAAATCCTCCAGCAGTGGTAGTCATAGTGCATGTGCAAGAGTCTTGCTCACATCAGGAAAAAAGCACGCACCCTATTAAGTGCAATATGTACGCACGAGCATGAAACTGAAGCGTCTTCATACTGGCATCCTCTGGTATGTTGCCCTGAAATATCTGACGAAGCCACTATAGCTTCATCGCACCACTCCTCAAGTCGAGAACCTAGCCAAGAATCCTAGCACATATCTCGAGCCAACTATGATCATCGGTGCCCGTAACTACCGGTCCATCGATCCGGAGCCCAAGTATGACGTCCACGTCCTGTAAGGTAATGGTGCACTCCCCTATATGATGTGAAAGATATTGGTCTCTGGCCTCCACCTCTCAATCAGTGTAGTGATAAGCGACCAATCAAGCCTAATAGATCGAACCGTCGAACACTCCCGAAAACCGTCCTGAGCGATCAGCTCTAGTACTCTCGCATCCTCAATGACCCAAGCCAAATGACTCTGGGAATGCCCGATCATGGTGATGTCTGGTACGGGCTGCACGTAAAAAAGAATTGATTAAGTATATTGAGAAAAATTAAAATTAGTGCCAATGCTAAGGAATATATACAAAAGATGTTTTGCCTTCGGTGTGAGCTCTGAGCGGATATTTTCACCACGTATGCGATGTCGTAGAAAGAAGTTATTAAGTCTGTAAAATATTTTAGCAACTAGTGACTGTATTGGCATACCGCATGCTCCCCTGAGAACGCCATTGAAACTCTCTGAAGCGTTCGTAGTCATCATACCGAACCGTCTCCCGCCATCTTCACATAAAGCCCACTTATCAACATTGTGTGGTCCCAAACTAGTATCGATCGCCATCTTCACATAAAGCCCACTTATCAACATTGTGTGGTCCCAAACTAGTATCGATCCAATCATGTGCAGCTCGAGAAATAAACTTAATCCTCTCTCGTATTTGGTCATAAACTAATTTTTCTGTTGCACAGCCGGCTTGCCAAAGAAGATATTGAACCTGACCGTTCCCATATTTCTTCTTGAAGTTGTCCCTAATATGTCGCAAGCAATAACGATGTACATGTGGTGACGGAAAATATTGTTGGAGTGCTCTTGGAATTCCTTTCATCCTAGCAGATATGAATATAATCGGTCGCGCCCCCACACGAGGGATATGATATCGTATGCATGTAAAAAACTATACCTTATTCTCTGTGTTTTCAACATCAACCACTACAAACGCCAAAAGAAACAAACCGCCATCCGCGTCAACTCCAGTGGCAACAAGCAAAACGCCTTTGTATTTGCCGTATAAGTGGGTGCCATCAATGCTAAGAAGAGGACGGCAATATTGGAAACCCTTAATACAAGGCCCAAATGCCCAAAATACACATGTGAATCGTCATTCTTCGCCATCAAGAGGGTCTGATGAAACTTCATATACAGTCCTAGGATTTTCTATTTTGAGTGCTTCAAGATAATGCGGTAAGATCTCATAAGATTTGTCTCAATCCCCAAATATTTTTATCATTGAGTGCTTCAAGATAATGCGGTAAGATCTCATAAGATTTGTCTCAATCCCCAAATATTTTTATCATCGCCTTCCTCCTAGCATTCCAACACTTATTATATTATACATCCAAGTTGATCGCTTTATACACTAAAAGACGAATATCTTTCGGCCGTAGATCAAGATCCTCCCTCAGATGCGGTAAAATCAATCGATATATAAAAAAAGAGGATGCATGCTTGTTATTCATCTCCAATCGAGGATTGCTACATGTGTGAACTCCGTGATACGCCACGATTTTGAAATGCCCACCTACTCTTACACCCGAACATGAATTAAGCTTCCAAGGACAATTCGCATTCCCGTCGTAGTGTCCACCAAGATCTTTATCTTCACAATCTTTGCGATAAAAACAAACCGCTTATAGCTTGTTATGTTATATTTTGTTGGCCTAAACTTGACATTTTTTGTAATGGCATACGAGCGAAGCGTATGGATCAATTTCTCCTTACTCTCATAAAGATCTCCCTTCACGAATGAGAAGTCATCGCCCTGTGTATCATGACCGCTATTAGTGCCAATAGGAACACTTTCCATCATGGAGTTATCAATCCATTCTTCTCCTTGAAGTTCATCGGGCGGCGGATCCTCTAAGACAACATAGTCATTATTAGCATAACACCCGTCAATGTGGTTGTTGGCCCCTTCATCACGATCTATCAATGTCATGTTATTAATTTGTAAGCCCTCCTCTTCATCATCATTCTCAGATTCAACGCTTGCATTATCTTCTTGAACTCCCGTGTTAGTATCGAAAGCATTCGAAGTGCCCACAAACGAAGGACTGCTCATATATTATGATTGTGTCCAACATTCATCTTGTTGAGGAGATAAAAAGCCAACGGAATCAACATCATGGTCCTCCAACATGCGGGAGTACATTCCATCATAATTCAACAATTTACCCAAATTCCTTTGATATTTTTCAATGAACAATTCGATCGAACGCTTCTCGTCATGTAAGACTCCAATGAGACTCATATCGTAGTCACTTGATATTTGAATGCTGCTTGTCCTGTTTTCCACAACAGGATAATTGCAAATAACATTGAGGTAATACTCACGTGAGTTGGTTAATGTAAGTTTGTGTAATTCATTAACCAACTCATCGAAAGTACACGATTTTGTTATAAACAACGGTCTCGTCGCACCTCCTTCATAAACGGGCATATTATTTTCGAGGTAGTTAATCTTCCCATCATACGAACACAAAATTACAATATGATCGTTCATCATTACCTCTGAAGAGTAAAACATTCAAGATCAATATTGAGCGAAAAGACTTTAAAAATTGATTGCTACTTACCATTAAATCCTATATCAATTTTAGGGAACCATAATTTTACCCAAATTCATATACTGATGTCATACATATGTAATAACACTAATTTTTTTCATTTTTGATAGTTCAACCTCTAAATCCACAGAATTATTTAATTTTTCTTCACAAAATTCATAAAGTATTCATAATTAAATTCTAAAATCTAATTGAAGTCATATAACACTATTTTTTACATTTTTTATAATTTCACCTCCAAATCCACAAATTTATTTAATTTTTCTGAGCAAATTTAATAAATTATTCACAATGAAATTCTAAAATCTATTTGATGTCATACATATGTAGTAACACTAATTTTTACATTATTGATAAATTTCCCTCTAAATCGACAAAATTACTTAAGTTTTCTTCACAAAATTAATAAATAATTCATAATGAAATTCTAAAATCTAATTTTTTACGTGTAATCAACATGAAATAGTGAGAAAATAAAAGAAATTGAGAGAATAAATTTTTTTGGGAGGATTTTACCTTCAATCTATTGAACTCCGGCGACAAAGGCAGTGCCGACGATCGGAAATGGGGGGAGGCGGTCGGAAATGAGGGGAGGCGGTCGGAAATGAGGGGAGGCGGTCGGAAATGGCCTGGGGCAGCGACGGTTGGGACGAGTGTCACGCCCCGCTTCCCAAAATACCCGAGAATCGGAACGTGAACAAGCCCACGACGTATTAGATTGAGAAGATATATATACGTCTGGAAATAAATACAATGCGAAGTCACAGGTCCCCGATCACAATCAACAAGAATATAATAAACAACACAAAATAAAATAATACATATCACAATGAATATTCATCCCAGACATAAAATCCGGGTCAACATGCCCTTATACAAAACTATCTGAATGAAATACTAAAGAATATAAAAATACACTGATCAAAAGGAAATGAAGGTGATACAAAACAAACTGAAAGGAAATGACTAAGTTTCTGCTCCTTCTTCTGCTACGTCTGCAAGGCACTCATGCTGAGAATCCTCTGGCTCCTGATGATCTCAAGGCACTCCTGCTGAGAATCCTCTGGCTCCTGTTGAGGCTGTTCATCTCCTAAATCTGACGTACACCAGAGAAAATAGGTGTACGTCAGGTGCATGGCGCACGGCAAGACCCAACCCCACAAAGAAAATAGAACAAACGGAAATCCAAAGTGAGAAATGATACGATAACAGAAATGACAAAAAAACGTGCAACTGGAAATCCAACAAAATCAACATACAAATCCACTACCAAAACATGATAATCATAAGAATCCGTAAATCAATCGGTAACGAAATCATGCAGCTAGCAATCAGAATAATCATCCAAGTCACCATGTCATACAAATAGATAGAATTAATACTTAAAAATCTATAACAAGAGACGTAGTACGTCGAGCGAAATAATCCAAACAAGGAAACCCTCATGTATATACCATATGTCTCAAATTATAGATAATTAAATATTATCCCGATCTATGTATGAAAAGATAATACAACTGATCCGTATCTCACAAAAAGTCATACCTAGCCTAGAAACGAGATCAAGTAACTAGTCATCCTATAACAGGTCACTGGTCACATCTCACACAGAGTCAACGCTCCTATCACCGGATAACTGGCTATTCACAAATCCCCTACGCGCATCCAATCCTGCGAAACAGGCGGCTAGAGGACTACACGCAATCTGATCTCGGCCCGATCCGAACTCAGGCGGCAAAGCTCAGGTGACGAAACAAGTCACGGATCAAAGTGACGAAACAGGCCACTTTGTCCAACAAACCTACCCCAGGACGAAACAGGTCTCTGGTACAAGTCTGGAAAATACATCAACAGCCTTATCCGATCACATGAACATTAACTTCCCCATCCCAACTCTTCTCGTTCTTTCTAAATCAACGATCATAATCCTTATTAAAACTATGGTTCACCACCTAAACACACCCACACATGTCACTAGGTCTGTTCATGACGCACAAGGCCATTAAGTCATGAACTACTAAGGTTCTCAAACACAGCCAGGAATAATCAATGCAACTAATCACATGTAATAATATCGTAGCATATCAGATAATCAATATTAAGAATTATAGATCATAAACAGAGTCTACATGACAGAAATATTACTTTTTCAAAAAACTTCTTTAAAAATATTTATCATTCTAAAATAATTTTCTTCCACAACATAAATTCTAAAAATATTATAATTAATCTAAAATAATCCTGTTACCCAAAATAAATTCTTTAATTTATTATATTGGTTCTGAAAATACTATTTATCACATAATTTCTATCCATTCAATATTATTCATCAAACACACGCAGATAATAAAAAGATATAAATCAACATAAACGGATAATTCACCAATTCATCAACAAGCCCACGCAGTTAATAATAATTCATAATCTAATTTAGGCAACTAATTAACGACAGATATAAATAGGAAATTACGAGTCAAGAAGAGCAGGATCTTGCCTTGGGTATATCGTGGACTGTAGAGGGGGTCGCCCGCGTCGGTGGCGATATGTCTAGGAGGCGGCGGTGATGCGGGGCGGGGTCGACAGCGAGCGTGGGTGGTGAACAGAGGGAGTGGGGCGCTGAGCAAGGGGGTAGCTGTGGGTGGAGGCGAAGGTGCAGCGAGGCGGTGGTGAGCTGAGGCACGGCGAGGCAGAGCTTGGTGGAGGGATCTCGGCGCTGGAGGTTGATCGTCTGAGCTCGGCGGGGCTTGGAA